GCTGAATGTTGAACGGTTCAACATTCAGCGCGTTTGTTTCGCACCTCTGAATGATTCAGTGCTGACTGATTCAGCAAAACAGTGTTGAATGATTCAGCACAGAAGTACATTATGAATGATTCAGAGTCAGTAAACAAACAACATGTCACATTCAGAGCTAATTCATCCAGTGCCTCTGAATCATTCAGCATTTGAATCATTCAACGCTTAATCATTCTGAAGTAAACAAACAGTTCCTTAGTCTTTGTTTCATATTGTATTTACTTTCGTAATATAATATTAATTACCCTTTTCAAAAAAAAAGATTCGTGACCATTTGATAATGAATGTTCAAATACCCTTTAATCTATGGTATACGAATTTAGAATCTCCTTAGATAACAATCATTCTTTCAACTAAAGTAACTTGATTCGTATGATTAAATATTATAATTAAATCTTGATCTAAGATACATGAATATAGAATATAGAAAAATGACCTGGAAGGCACACTGACTCGTTCCAAAGTCCTATTAAATGGCCCAAATATAGGGCTGTAAATGAGACGAGATAAATCGTGAATTACTCGAGATTGACTCGATAAAAGTTCGATAAATACTCAACTCGAGTTCTAATAAATCGAAATATGTTATTTGATACTCTACTTGAAAAGCTAGTGAGTACCTCGAAAATATTATATATTAAGATTTTATTTTTTAAAATAAATTATTAATAATATTAGCATTTATATGTTGATTTTTTAAAAAAATGCAGGATAAGATTTTCATGTATTCAAGATTCAGGTTCGAGTTTCAGTTTGAGACTTCAAGCGAGTTAAGTTTGAGATTTTTTTTCCATTTCGAGTTTTTATGAGTTTCAGTTCATGGTTTCGAGTTCAAATCGAGCTTGAAAATTTTAAGCTCGAGATTTTTCGAATTGAGTTTCATTTTAGAGTTTTTGAGTCAATCGAGTTCAGCAATAATCGTTTACCGGTCTAATGCTTAGGGCTCATTTCCAACATAACATACATACCATAAACATGTCTTAGCACCGAAATAACATACACTAACACAACAGTCCTAGAATATATCATGCTTACTAATATGGCAACATTTAGGCGTAGGGATAGAATGACTCTATGGATTCTATTTGATCCGATTATATAAAGTTGAATGTTTAGTTTTTAAATTTGAATTTTTGTCGATTTTTTAAAGGATGAAGTCGAGTTGGATTCAAGTTTAAAATAAAAAAATTTATCTTATTCGACCTAAAAAAATGTAACCATCTCTTATATATTTAGACAGAATTACAATAATGCTCCTATCTCTATAGTTTTTTTCAATTAGGTACATGTTTTATCGAATAAAAATGAATATATATATATATATATATAGAGGGTTAATATCCATGCACAAACTGAGTGAACAGTGCATATTAGACCAAAAACACATCTTTAAGGTACAAAAATAAGTGTTTAAACTGTCTCAAAAATTGTTTTAGTGTTTAAAGAATTTTTTGTTAAAAATAAGTGTTTAAAATTTTTTCCGTTATATTTTTAGGTACTAACCATTAAAAAAACTCGTTAAATCCAAAAAAAAAAAAGTTCAATAGATCAAAAACTTTTGTTTGAACATCCAAGAAAAGCATCAATGATTAAATGAATTAAGAGGTAAATACAATTTCAAACCCCAAAACGATTTGGAGGTGAAGAAGAAGTAGAACCTACCATTGGAGCCATCTCAACATTCTTAACATGCATCCCATCATGACCATCATCATCACCATCACCATCACCATCATGCTCCAAGTCCTTCATCATCCTATTCTTAACATACATCCCATACACATAAGAACAAAAGCCCCACCCGCACATCACGGTGGAAACAGCCTTAATCCCACCGAAATCATCCCTATAAACCACCACCCCACCCACCACGTTCATCATCAGCAACGCCGTCATGCAGATCGCCCCGGTCAACGAACACGTCAAGAACACCATCCCCGCCGTCCCCATGAAACAAAGCTGCCAACTAACGATGTTCGAAACCACCGTCACCCAATAAACCCCCTCCCCTTTATCGAACACCTGCACCGCCTCCCTCTTCATCTCCGTAAACCCACCGTCGAACGCCATACCGACGCTCGACAACGCCGTCGCGGCAACCTCCATCACCAGCTGCATTTCCATCACCATCGGATAACAATACACCTTCTTGTAAACCTAAACCATCTCCATGATGGGAAGATACACCGCGAAAAGCAAGCCCGCACCGATGGTCGCGAAGTACCCGATGAAGTACTTGGCTCGGGTTAAACCATGGGGCTTATCGTTGCTCGATTCCAAGGCTAACAACACAGAAGATAACGTTAACAAGATGACACAGTTCAGGTTCATGAAAGTGATCTTCTGCTTCACGATGAGTACAGATAGGATCAGATTGAACACTAACTGAGATGATAAAACAAGAGACGAAGTCGACACAGGGAGATACGAGATCCCCCATGCGAAAAGAAGATTGTTTATGCCTAACATGAAGCCAATGAAGATCGACAAGGCTAAGATCCTTGGAGTGAAACGAGTGAAGGGTTTACGTTCAGTGGATTTGAAAACATAGTAAGGAAGAAGAATGGGGATTACAAGCAATGGAAACCCAGCAGATTGAACCCAGGTCGAAACCCATCGGCTCGAGCCCTTTTGGTTGAAATAATACTTAGACAGCAGGCTCGAAGACAAAGAACCAACGAAGAGGAAGGCGTAGTTGAGCAGCAAAAGTGGGAGGTAACCCTTGTTTTCATGGATTTTTGGTCTGGTTCATTGGTCTGGTTTAGGATAGAAGTATTAGAGTTGTTCATGGTGACGAAAATGGATATTTTTTCTCTCTTTTGAGGGTTGAAGGCGATGGTGATTTCTTTGGATTGTGGACTAGATTTTAAAGGAGATGAAACCGCGGGGACGAGTCTGAAAAGCACGGTTGACAAGTGGTTTAAACGCATTGGGTTCGAGATGAAACGTAACGTATGTTCATGAAAAGGCCAGGGGAAGAGGAAAAGGTAACCGAAACTACATAGGAATTGGTGAAAAAGAAAAATATAATCTACCAATAACTCATTCGAAGTCTAAATTTTGGGTAAAATACTCTAATAGTCTTCAGATTACACGGAAATACTTTTTTGAGTCTCTTATCTATTAAAAATTATAAAATAATCCTTTTAACTATATATTGTTGTTTGTTGAGTCCCTCAACAATTAAAGGTTACAAAATAGTCAATCAACTATTTATATGCTCCAAATTCGTCATTTTTAGTTAAGAATTGATGACTATCTAAGTTGGACGTTAATTTATTAACTAAGATATGATAAAATATGATCCCAAAATTATTTAATTAAATGTCTGTTTACATTATGTCATCTGCCCAATACATTATGTGATTAAAACTTTAGTATGGATCCAATTTAAAAATATATAATAGGGTCAAAGGTTAAATGGCAATAAATCATGGACTTGTCTGACAAAAACAAGAGTCTGAGTCGACCAAAAGGTAGAGAAAATACATTTCCTTTTTGGTGATAGGAGCTGGTCAAACAGGTCAGCTTCATAATAAGGTTAACTTACACCTCAAACCACAACCTCACATTTTTAATATTATTAAAAAAATTATTCATTTAATATCAAGTCAAAACTCGATGACTCATCGAGTTTTGGTCCGTTTTAATATCTAAACTTTAAATTTTTCAAAATCATATCTAAAATTCAGTTTTTGTTTCAGTTTAGTGTCACCTTTCAAAATTCAACGTTAAATTTTGAATTTTTTTTAAGTTTAGACACTAAAATTGACCAAAACTGATAGTTTAAATACTAAGCACGTTAAGTTTTTAACAGCAGGATACTAAAATAAAATAAAAACTAAACGTTAGGTATAATTTTGAAAACATTAAAAGTTTAAATACTAAAACATACCATAAATGATAGTTTATGTACTAGATGTGTAGTATTTGCTTATTTATAACAACCAAAGATTCCCTAAAAACATTTTAAGATTATTTTAGTAATAATTTATATTTTATAAGGAAATACTTTATCTTTAAAGATTCCCTCTGTAATGTTTTTACCAAATTTAATTTAAATTAATTCATTCGGTACAAATAAGGAAATGTTTTCACATGCAAACACATGGTGTGCAGTAAATACTAATAATAAGATAAATATAGATAAATCAACTTGTTCTTTAATACACCAAGTCCTAAATTTATAAGTAGATTAAAGAATTTATAAAAATCGGGCCGAGTTATTCTAATTTTTGTTTAAATTTAATTTTAAATATTTATACGGTTACGGTACTAGTTGATTCAAATTAAAACAATTTTTTATAACCATATATATTCGTATTTTTCATATGCAATATACATATATCCTGAAGATTTAACAGACTCGACTCGAATTTGAAAATAAATATATTGATTACTAAAAAAATTCGAGTTGTTAGAGTTATATTTTGTAACTTGACTCGAATTTGTTTCTTTAATCAAGTCAAATCGAGTTTTTTAATATCAAATTGAATCGTAAAATTTATTTTTTGAGTTAAGTTTTACTCACCCAATTACACTTTAGAAGCTTTGGGGATTATTTAATTGGAAAATTTAATTAGCCCATTTTATATATAAAAAGGGCCTAACAAAACTGTTTCCCTCTCCAAAGCTAAATAGCCCATTTATATAAGGAAAGAGTACAAGGACCGAATGTATAATTAAACCAGTTTCCAATTCAATACTCGACTCAAACTGAAAAATTAATGCAATAATTACTAAAAAAATTGAGTTATTCGAGTTATATTTTATAACTCGATTTGAATGTAAAAAATTTTCGAGCCGAATTGAATTTATGAAATTACATCTTGAAGTTAATTCAAGTAAAAAAATAAATTCTCAAATCAAGTCGAATTTTATTGTTTCATACTTATAAAACACGAGGGACCAAAAACATAATTTAAACTCACTATAAAACAAAACCTGGATCAGCTATCGAAGTTTACGATCAAATCCCTCGATTATCTGCAATCCTCAATTTTTGCCTTTCTGCAACTGAACCAATTCAAATCCTTCATCTTCATCTTGTTCACAAACCATGAACAACAACAATCCTCCAAAACCCGTGTTTTTGACCAAAGCCCAACGCGAACAGTTAGCTCTCCAACGCCTCGAAGAGCAACGCGCCCAACAGAAACGCAGCCTTGAAGACCTCCATCGCCCCACCAACGGCCACATCACCAACCGCTCCGATTCCACCTCCACTAAACCCTCCTCTGATTCAGACCGACGCGACCGCGACCGCCAGCGGGAGAGGGATCGGGAATCCGATCGGAGGAACAGGGAGCGCGAGCGGGAGGAGGAAGCCAAGGCGAGAGAACGGGCGAGGTTGGAGAAGTTGGCTGAGAGGGAAAGGGAAAAGGAATTGGATTCGATTAAAGAGCAATACCTCGGATCGAAGAAGCCCAAGAAAAGGGTTATTAAACCTAGCGAGAAATTTAGGTTTTCTTTCGATTGGGAAAACACGGAAGACACTTCGAGGGACATGAATTCTTTGTATCAAAACCCTCATGAGGCTCAGCTTTTGTTCGGCAGAGGGTTTAGGGCTGGAATGGATCGGAGGGAACAGAAGAAGCTCGCGGCCAAGAATGAGAAAGAGATGAGAGATGAGATTAGGAAAAAAGATGGGATTGAAGAGAAACCCGAAGAAGCTGCGGCGCAGAGGTTAAAAGAAGAAGCAGCGAATACTTACGATACTTTCGATATGAGGGTCGATAAGCATTGGTCTGATAAGAAGCTCGAAGAAATGACTGAACGAGATTGGAGGATTTTCAGGGAAGATTTCAATATCTCCTATAAAGGGTCGAAGATTCCTCGCCCGATGCGGAGTTGGAGCGAGAGTAAGTTGACTCCCGAGTTGTTGAAAGCAGTGGAGAGAGTTGGGTATAAGAAGCCTTCACCCATACAAATGGCTGCTATTCCTTTGGGATTGCAGCAAAGGGATGTGATTGGGATTGCAGAGACAGGCTCAGGTAAGACTGCTGCTTTTGTTCTGCCTATGTTAGCTTATATATCTAGATTGCCACCTATGAGTGAAGAGAATGAAGCCGAGGGGCCTTATGCTGTTGTCATGGCCCCGACTCGTGAGCTTGCTCAGCAAATTGAGGATGAAACTATGAAGTTTGCTCATTATTTAGGTATTAAAGTAGTTTCCATTGTCGGTGGTCAATCGATAGAGGAACAAGGTTTTAGGATTAGACAAGGGTGTGAGGTTGTTATTGCTACACCCGGTCGTTTACTGGATTGTTTAGAGAGGCGGTATGCTGTGTTGAATCAATGTAATTATGTGGTTCTGGATGAGGCTGATAGGATGATCGATATGGGTTTTGAACCCCAAGTTATGGGTGCATTGGATGCTATGCCATCTAGTAATTTGAAACCGGAGAATGAAGATGAGGAGCTTGATGAAAAAAGGATTTATCGGACTACTTATATGTTTAGCGCGACGATGCCTCCAGCTGTGGAGCGGCTAGCTAGGAAGTATTTGAGGAATCCTGTTGTGGTCAATATTGGTACTGCTGGAAAGGCTACTGATTTAATTTCTCAACACGTGATCATGATGAAGGAATCAGAGAAGTTTCCAAGATTGCAGAAGTTGCTCAATGATCTTGGGGATAAGACCGCGATCGTGTTTGTCAATACTAAGAAGAATGCTGATACTATTTCCAAGAATCTTGATAAGTCAGGTTATAAGGTAACGACTTTGCACGGTGGAAGGTCACAGGAGCAGAGGGAAATCAGCCTAGAGGGTTTTAGGGCCAAGAGATTCACTGTCCTTGTTGCTACAGATGTTGCAGGGCGTGGAATTGATATCCCCGATGTGGCTCATGTCATAAACTATGACATGCCTGGCAATATCGAAATGTACACACATCGTATCGGAAGAACAGGACGTGCAGGAAAGACAGGTGTAGCCACGACATTTTTGACTTTCCACGACACCGATGTCTTCTTTGATCTTAAGCAGATGCTCGTTCAAAGCGGCAGCCCCGTGCCTCATGAACTGGCAAAACATGAAGCTTCCAAATTCAAACCAGGATCGATTCCAGATAGACCTCCCAGGCGCAACGACACTGTTTTTGCTCATTGAGAAACTCAGGAGCTTTTATTGGTATGTAAAACACGAATACCCTAATTTACTCCGCTGTACCGTGGTATTTTACTTGCCAAAGTATCCATCATTTCTGCTACAACTGTTAATTAGTCACTAGAGGAGTATTACTTGACAATCGAAAACATATAGTTTGGAATTATTTTTAATTCTGATCTTTGATTGCCATTATATATCTTCTCTGGGATTGTAACATATATAACTGCTATAATGATATTGTGGCTTGCTAGACTGTTTATGTATGTAACTTCTAATTTTGATATTTGGCTTGGATTGGAGAATTTAGTTTTAGGATATTTGAGTGGAAAAAGAACCATATGATCAAAGCATAATGCAGGTGCAGAAGTGAAGAAGAAATATGTGTATATATGGGAAAATTATTCCATACACAGTTGGAAAAAAATCCACAAACAGGGTTGAATGAATGACACGTGGCATTAGGGTGTTTAGGGTTTAGGGTTTGCTTTTAGGGTTTTGGGAAGACACGTGGCAGTATCTAAACATTGTTTGTGGAATTAAAATATTGGCATAATGCCAATAATAGCCCCCAACGTTTATCAAAATTATCACTTTGACTCCCAATGTTTTACTTTGAGACAAAAAGCTTTCTCTATAGATGAAAACCATTAGTTAATACGATTAACGTTGTAAAATAGGAGTTTTTTAACTTAAAATAAAACATTAAGTGCCAAAATATCCTAAAAATAAGGGACAAAATGATTATTCTATCAAATGTTAGGGGTTTTTTTACCTATTAAATGTTTGGGGTTTTTTTACCTTAAAATTAAAATGAAATGGTAGTGGCCAAAATGTTCCAAAAAAAATAGAATAGGAGAAAAAATAATCATTTTAATAAACATTGGGAGTTAATTTTAGCATTAGACCTAAAATATTCTACTGATAGTGTGTTAAATGCTAACCCATATTTATTATAGTTTGAGTATCAAATACTAACCCATATTTATAGTTTGGTATATATGAATGGCGTTAGTGGTTTGCATGACAATGTGTGACTCGTGCATTTTGTTTCATTTTTCAAACTCTTAATTGCAACATAGGTGTCTATCTATACCTATCTATATCTCTTTTTAGCTTTAGGTACCTAAATATTTTTGTGTTAAAATAGGTGCTTAAAACTTTTTTTAGCCGGAATAGGTGCCTATTTATTTATGCTCTAATGTAAATACTAGGTCCAAATGTTTTAACCAAAATATTTTTTATTTTCCATTTATACCCCTTCATTTTCTAAAATTGATAATCTTAGGTTTAAGATTATATGATTTGAAAAATAATGATTTTTTAATGGACCTAAAAGATTGATTTAAAATAATCATGGAATAAAATATTAAATACTATTGTCTTGACAAAAATATAAAAAAAATATTTTTTTCTAATAATTTTAAGGATGAATCGTTTAACCAATGAATAAACAATAATTACAAAATAAATAAAACTTGGACAGAAAGCAAGGTTTACAATTCAAAACCTCAACAAAGGAAGTAAACTGGTCAACAATCAAAGTTTTCTATTAAAAGTGAACCTCGAAAGACATGGATCCTTCGTACCAATACCCTAATGAGAGACGATATAGTGTCGGAGTGGATCGGAGGCAACAAGAGAAGTCGTTTTTTTAGGAGGGCCGGTTTTTCTCCGTCTACATCGACTTATATATCTAGATCGTAGAACGAGAGGTATTATGTTGTTGCTTCGGCAGCCCATCGAGAACTGTTATGTCGAAATGACAAGTGAACTTGGTCGGCGAATTAGGGTACCAAAGTCGTTAGGACATGGAGAAGGAACTGTTTTTGGTCATTGTAAGTACCAAAGTCGTTAGGACATGGAGAAGGAACTGTTTTTGGTCATTGTAAGTGATCGTTATGCAGGGAAGTGTACGGTACAATATTATGAGTAGTTTTCACGAGGGATAGTCATTTTATCCGAACTCGACGTGTTTTAGTCCGATCTACAACCGTCCCTATGTTAGAGGATTTGTTGATCATGTTTAATGTAATTTTCATGTCAGATGTTATATTAATATGATAGGTGGGCTGGAGACTTGGAGTTGAGTAAAGGGGCAGTTAATGTAAGCAAGTGGAACCACTAGTGTCCGGCTTCTCTCTCCGCTTAGTGTCGCGTAAGAATGTAATCGAGTCTTTAACGAGCTAAAACGAATTATTTACTATTTAACTCAAAAAAATCGTGAACAACTCGGAAAAAAATATATTAAAATTTAAAAAATTGAATTATTAATAATATTAATATTTATGTGTTTATTTTTTTTAAAATATAATAGAAGATTTTCATGTACTTGAGGTTTAAGTTCGAGTTTGAGTTTTAACCTAGTTAAGTTTAAGATTTTTTTATTATTTCAAGTTTTGACAATTTTTTTTAAAATTTTAATTTATGATTTTAAGTTCGAGTCGAACTTAAAAATTTTAAAATCGTTGTGTTTTATTTTAGAATTTTTAAGTCAAATTAAAGTAAACAATATTTAAACGCTACTCGTTTACAGCCCCAGTGCCGTGTTTGTTTTGCTTTGCCCGGTGGAAACTGGCAGCTGGGATTTAGATTTGTTTTTATGTGATGGAGATATGTCAATTAAGTTTTGGGTAAACTACGACTTTCATCGTCCAATTTTAACTGCGATTTTGCTTTTATCACTCAACGCTAAAAAAATAAAGGGTAATCTATGCATTTAATACCTAAATTATTCATTTTTGTCTGTTTTAGTACCTAAATTTTTAATTTCTAAAACTATACTTACCATATGGTTTTTCATTTTATTTTAGTATCGACCGTTAAAAATTTAACGTGTTTAATACCTAAACTATCAATTTTAGTTCGTTTTAGCACTTAAACTTTCGTTTCCTCTCCAAATTTAAATGTTAAATTTTGAATGAGGTACTAAAATAAAACGAAAACAAAAGTTTTTAATGGCGAGATTCTAAAATGAAATAAAAACTAAACTTTAGGTATGATTTTGAAAAAAAATAGAAGTTTAGATACTAAAACGGATCAAAATTAATAATTTAGGTATTAAATGAATAATTTTCCCAAAATTAAATTCATTATTAAAATTCTGAAATTTTTATATTTTATTCACTCAAACATTAAATTAAAAATAATATATTGAATTATTATTTTTTATAGAAAGTCGATAAAAATGATTGTCCCTTGTTCCCATATGTAATGGGGTAAGGGGGAGGTAAGATAGTAGGCTGCCCCCAACACTAGGTTGAGAACAGCTTCCGTTGGAGACCTCCAAATTATGAAATACCCTCCATGAGACTCGATCCCACGACCTCAAGGTTAAAAACCTTGTGCTCTACCAACTGAGCTAGATGGTCATTTCAGAAAGTTGATAGTTTTACTAAAATTAAAAAATATCTAGAATTACAATGAAGATTTACAATTATAACCGTAAACGTAAACTAAATTATAATTTGGACATTTTCCTATAATCACTGACACAAAAACTAGCCACTTAGATCACACAAGGACCAAAGAAGGAAAATGTTAAAAAACCTAACCAAAAAGCTCGAACAAGATAAAAATACGAATAAATTTGACTGCATCGGCAAACGAACCAAAAAAAGATGAAGTTATTGAAAGACCACCGACAAATCGTAAGTCAAACGACATGATAAAACTATCCATGAACACAAAACGCGTATCTAAATTAATCTGAGGTCCAAAACAGAGGATATCTACATGATAACAAATAAACATCATCTTGATCAGTCGTGACGATGCCAATTTCAATCTAAAAAAAGATAAATGAAAATAACGACCAAACAATCGAAAACTACCAAAAGACAATGATAAATGTGCCACAAAGACAGAGATAAATGTGTCATAAAGACATACTTATTTTTAATTAAAAATAAAAAACAAAGAGAAAAAAATAACCAACGATCGAAAATCAACATCAAAACCGATGCTATCGTCGATTAAACAAAATTAAAGAAAGTTGATTTTATCTATAAAAATTGTACAAATTGTAGAGAAAAGGATAAGGCCGCTAGGGTTTAGAGAGCAAAGATATTTTGGTATATAGTGTGTTGTTTTTTTGTTGAATTATAAGTCAATTGTAATCCATAATTTCTTTCTTTCTTTCATTCATTCATTCTTTCTTTCTTTCTTTCATTCATTCATTCTTTCTTTTCTTCTATGTCATTATCATCTTATAGTTTATGTGATGTCGTAATTGAAATTCTATTTCAAATATTTCAAATAGGGACGTATTTATCTCCTAATCTATTATTATTTTATTATTTTATTTTTTTAAACCTCCTTAAAATTTACAAAATTTATTTTCTTTATAATTTCTCTCGACAACTCGACATAGATATATTGTTTTAAAATAAAGGGTAAAGAACGCAGATAGTCTCCCGATTGTATGATATTATTTTATTAAGTCCATCGACTATGACAAGTTACAAAATGGTCACCCAACTATTCATTGTGTTCGAAACTCGTCATTTTTCGTTAAAAAATTGATTGTATTATGAGTTGAACGTTAGCTTGTTGATTGTGATAACGTTTGATCTCAAAATCTCATACGACTATCATATTCCAGTCATCATGTTAACGTCGATCTTAAACAACTGCCGATTTTTAACGGAAAATGACGAGTATGGAACATAATGAATTGTCTTGTAATTATTTTGTAACTTTTAATAGTTGATGAACTCAACAAAGTAACATTCCATAGCTGAAGGACCATTTTTTAACTTTTAATAGTCGAAGGGTTTAATAAAGCAATACTCTATAGTCTGGGGACCGTTTGTGTACTTTACCCACAAGTATAATTAATATATTTACTCTAATGATTTATTTATTAAAAGGAAAAATGGTTTTTGAAATATATAGAGTTAATTGCATCTATGTTCCTAAATTATGATTCTCATTTTAAATTAGTCATTAAACTTTTAAACATTCTAATTTCATCCTCAAACTATGACTCTCATTTTAAATTACTCTTTAAACTTTTGAACATTCAAATTTCATCCCTAAACTATGACTCTCATTCTATGTTAGTCCTTAAACTTTTGAATCTTCTAATTTCATCCCCAAATTCATCCAAATATATAATTAGTTTCAACCATAGTTTAACCTAATTTTTTTCTCAAACATATAATAATATGACTTGGCCTAATGATTTTATTAACAATGGATGCAATTAGTATATATGTATAATTTGGGATGAAATTGAAATGTTCAAAAAGTTTAGGGATCAATTTAGAATGAAGATCATAGTTT